TTACTGCAGCCAGTTTCCAGTAATCTGCAAACTAGATGTGACTGGCAAATATACACAATCAACTGTGTCCAGCAGATTAACCTCCATAATTTTTTGTATTATTACTTGGAGCTGTAGGAATTAAAAGGCTATTGTGGCAGTTAAGTACAACTTAACCCTGAAAGGGGTATAAGTAAGAGCTATTGTCAAACCACGTTCTGCTCCTGGTGATATTTTGGACATATCTATGTACTATTCTTGGCAACAATTCAGACATGGTTTATTAAATGTCTGCTTCCAGGATGTGTTTTTAAAGTTCTCAATCTAATTTCCATTCTGGAATGTTTTGGGTGGTCTCCTGGACTAACCAGATCTGGCTTGGCTCAATTTTCTGAAATGAGTCAAGGCTAGCTAAATACTGCCACCTATGTAGGTAAGTCATGTGAATTCTGTTAAGCTCCCCCTGACGGCTGATTTAAAGCAGTGGTCCCCAACCTTTTTTGTACCAGGGACCAGTTTCACGCAGAAACACTTTTTCAAGGACCGGGGGGGGGAGGGGGGAAGGAGTCCGAGTTTGGTGGTTTGCTTGCAGACGTTTCATTACCTGACTAGGTAACATCTGATGTTGTTACCTAGTCGGGTAATAAAACGTCTGCCAGCAAACCACCAAGTTCAGGGAGCGCCAATGCCTCCTCATTGCAACCCTGAGCGACAGATATTCTCTTCTATTGGGACATTTAAAATGGAGGGTTTCAGCTGCAGATTCAGGAACTGCGCCGGGCTGAGGAGCGCCTTCAAAACTGAGCGCTGGGCGGCGGCGGCCCACGGCTGTCTCCGCGGCTCAGGACAAGTCCCTGCAGGATGGCTGAGAAGCCCCGCCTCTCGGCCCTGCCTCCCTCAGCCTCATCCCTCAGGTGTCTCCCTCCCTCCCTCAGCCTCATCCCTCAGGTGTCTGCCTCGTTCCTCTCTCAGTTGCTCTCTCGCTCCTCCACCAGCCCAGGAAGAAACTGCTTCAAAGAAGCCGGCAGGGTGGCTTTTCCTGTTGGCGCAGCTCCTCCGAAGCGCCCGTTCACCCCACCCCGCCGCCCGCGGTTCAATCCAGTGCTCCGTTCTGCCTGCCTGCCTAACTGCCTTCGTTTCTGGTTGTTTCGGAGCAGCTTCGGCTGAGTAAAAGAGGCGAATAGTTATTATTCAGCCGAAGCTGCTCCGAAACAACCAGAAACAAAGGCAGGCAGGCAGGCAGGCAGGCAGAACGGAGCACTGGATTGAACCTGGATTGATTGGCGGGAAAGAAATAAGCGCCTAGTCCAACCAACTGCAGAGACTTAGGGCACTGGAGGGAAGGATCCAATAGGGCCCTTCCATGCACATTTTTAATGCTAAACTAATATACTGTTTATTGTGTGTAAATCTTCTGTAAAACCTCTAAGTTTGCAGCTTAATAATATTACATATATGCATTCAGAAAAATAAACAAAATACGTCCTCCAGAACATATCCTCTTCAGCAGCCAATACCCAGACAAACAGGGATTTAACACCAGACAAACAATCAAGCAGAAAACAATACTTCAATCAAGGAACTACCAAGGAGAAAACCACACACTCACCAACACTGGCAGGGCCAAGCAACTACATAGAAACCGGAGCAAATCCCACACTCTCTTGAACTGATGATGTAACCTAGTTGGGTAATAAAACATCTGCAAGCAAACAGGCAAACCCAGAGAGCACCCAGAACTCCACAAAAAAATAAACATAAATAAAATCCTATAAAATAGCATATGCACAAGATGTTTGGACCTGTCGTCGTTATTGTATAGCATCAAAAATAGTTGCAGGGATACTTCCTGTAGAGGGCCATTCCCCATTGCATTTGGAATAGCTCTAGATGATAATAACTTTGGAAATTGGTTCTTTGCCTGAGACACCACATGTCATGGTTTGGTGGCTTTTAATTTCCTATTGCTGTGACCAACTTTTGTTACTGTTGGCAGAATCTCCCGCAGTAGGTTGATTGGTCCCAGAACTTGGGAAATCCTTACTAGTTTCTTACTTATTTAACCAGACGGTATTATATCACATGGACAAGACAAGATGGTTTTTTCCTTTACTCCCCAGCACAACACTCCAGATTAAACTGTCTATTCAGGATAGATTGCTGTAGGATTTTCTTCGTCTAGCCCTGAATTCTCTGTGTACCACTTGTCCTGATTATAAAAAAGGGAGAACCTCTTAACATATCCAGAATGCCCTCCCTTATCTTCGATAACAGAGAAGCAGAGAACAGCATTTCAAGGAAAAAAATTAAATGGGATTTCATGCCTCAAGATGATTTCCATCATCTACAGTATTAACCTCAGGGAGCAGCTGCGCTTTCTGAATGGTGCAATATGCCTCAAACCTTTGGATTTTTTTTTCAAGGATGAGGAGCGTTTCACTTAATCTCACAATACTAAGTCATGTGCAAGGAACATTTGCAGGAGCGCTTCAGATTAGATTGCAGTAAAATCTGACAAGAGTAGCCTAACGGGGGAGGCTAGGTTCCAAAATTCAAGATGCTGAAAAAAGAAGAAGAAGAACTGGGAAAAATTATTTTGAATCAGCATCAATATGATAGAAAGTTCTGTCTAAGTATTAGAACTGGAACGTCACCCTGTCCTCATATGTAACAAGTGTGCCATTGTACATACAGATGTTGTTTGCAAGTTGGCCTTGACCTTAGATGTAGGGGGTTATGTAAATTGCAGCTGCTTTTCTCTTTTATTAAAGAAAAATGTCCTTGAAGCCTGTGTCCAGAATTGATATCGGGCATTTAAAAACCAGTCATATACACATATGCACCATCTTTTTGAAATAAGAGATATAATGCATGCACCAAATGCATGCACCATCTTTTTGAAATAAGAGATATAAAAACATTCCCATTATGCCAACTGTCTATTTCAAAAATTCTTTTGAAAAAGTGTAATAAAAAGCCATCATTTTTTAGCAGTTAAGATTAAAATGCGTGTAAAGAAATACTGCTTAAACCCAAATGGTTGCATTCTCTTTCTTTTTCTCTCATCAATTGTTTAAATTCTAATTTTTTTTCTCCTAAGTTTTATTTCTGCTCAAAGCTGGAAGGGGGGAAAAGGTTGGTCCTTATAATGAATTGGGGCAGCAGATGTGTTGATTGGAACTGATGTGGGCCTAAGGAGACAATTTAAGTTGGAGTATTCCAGTCAAATACAGTCAGGATCTAATCCAACATGTCTAATTCAATTTATCAGAAATCCACCAGGTTGTGTGTCTGGCATAATATTTCTATTCTAAGATGCCTGCTTACCTCTGTTTGGAAATTTTGCTAGGTTTTCCACATACTCTTGTCTGCTGCTTGACCTGACCTGAGATAGTTTACAGATAAATATATTTATATTCTCAAACTCTTGGACACAAGGATAAGCTGGTTTAGAAGTTAGACAACTATCAAGAAATGAGAGCTGGGTTTCTTTAACTCTAGTGATCCAAAGATAATTTGGACATCATCAGAAAATCAAGTGGATTTTTCTTTTTAGTTGGTGAGATCCATGTATTAGTTTTTCTTATGACTGGTTCCACATTTCAGAATACAAACGCCTGAAAATACAAACCTTTTCATTTTTAAGTCCAGGATGTTTCCCATGTGAGAAAAACAACCTTATTTGATATCTCAGAAATAATATTTGTGATATTCTTTGTTCACATGTCATGTATACTAAATGCACACTCTATGGAGGTGACATGCAATAGTTGTGATTCTAGTAGAACATATCAATTTACAAAAGTCAGGTCAGATTTTATATCAACTACAAATCATTCTCTAGTAATCATTTATAATGTCCTTCACTATAATTCAACCCTTATTCTGCCAATGTAACAGGGGTGAGGGCAAGCGTTGTCTCAGTGATGATTAGGCAATGCTAGAATGTGCTATAAATGATTAATGGAAAACAAGTATATCATAACTTTAGTGAAGCCAATCATTCTAATTTCAGCTCTAACTCGACTCCCCTAAACAACATGAAGTTAAGAGCAAAAGATTTACATTTTGCAAATCAGCATCAGTACGAGCACAAACTTTCTGCAGTGCTGTATAAAAACAATGTGGGTTGTTATATGTAGTGAGCATTCAGTAGAGAACACTGGCAATGTGTATTTTTCAAAGCTGTGTGCATACACTCAAAGCAATACTTTGTATGCCAGGGGTTCCAGGTTCAGCCCTGGCATCTCCAGCAAAAGCTGAGAAAGTCCCCTGCTCAAAATGGGGATGCGTTTCTTCCAATTCTGGCGTCAGGATTTGACAAAACGCTGCTTAGGAGGCAATTTACTTGTTACCCCTATCACAACCCACTTGCTATCTCCACCAGAAAGAGTACCTCATTGTAAAAACATGAAGCATTGCAGAAATGCAGGAGTGTGCCACATGTTACACATTTTCAAAGCATGTGGCATTTCAGTGGCTTTGAAGTTCTTCTTGGCACTTTTCTTCTTCCTGTCTGCCCTCCTTCAAAAGCTCAGAGATTTCTACTTGTGTAATGGCAAACACAATCGTTCTTTGAATAAGAAAACAAACCACAGTCAACAATAACATGCTAACTCCATTCCCAGATCTTAGTTGGAGGGGGAAACTTTGGTTTGGAACCTCCGAGGGTTCTTCAGATGTAATGGGGCTCCAAATGGAGGGAGCTGCATCCCCGGGGCTCTTGCTGACTCCAGAACCTGCCCGTTAAACCACCACAGCTACAACTCCAAGAAGCTTTAGCCCAGGCAAAATGTGAGGGGGCACACGAGTTATTCTTTTCCAGAATGAAGCCACCCAAGCTCTAGGGGAGTGAGAGCATCCTTCCCCAGCGTCATTCCCTTGTTCTGCAGGGTTGAGGCTCCTCTGCAGAGAACTTTCCCCTTCCCTGGGACATGCAGACCTGCACACAAACAGGCACCTATCTTGCAGCACCGCACAGAGTGCCTCTGCTACAGTGCCACACAACTGAGGGCATGTACCTCTGAACGCCACCTTGGCTATCCTGTCCGCTTTGCCTCTCAGGTTGGTGACCTTCTTCAAGCGCACGATTAAGGCCATGGTGGGCTGGTGGCCGGGAGTGCACTCTGCTGTTGTCGCTACAGCCTGGCAATGAAAGGCAATGGGCACAACGTGGGGAGCAGATGTGGGGGATCCAGCCGGGCTGCCTTCAGAGCTGTGTCACCCGCCTCTTCTCTCTGCCTGCTAAGCCTCGGTGCAGCTCTTCAGGCGGAGAGCGACCTCCTCCCATCTCGGTCCAGATCAGGAGCTGGTAAAAGCGGAGCTGCTGTGCCAATTGGGCTGCCTGGGGAGCAGTAAAGTGACTGCTGGCTCTCAATTATTCAGGAGCTATCGCTGGAAAGTCCCGCTCGGCGGTCTCCACGCGCTGCCCGGGCTGGTCCCTTGTTCCAGGCAGGGCTCTCCCCATCCTTCCACCGCCTTTAGCAGGGGGAGAAGGAGGATGCTGAACCTGAGATCGCTTCACGACGCCTCTCCTGCCCAAAGCAAGGTGACTTTTGCCTGGGGGAGCCAGGAGAACGGAGGAGCATCCCTCCACCACGCTGGCTCCGTCAGGGGCTGAAGCTACGGCTGGTGTACCTTAACTGCTTCACTGCTGAGTCGTCCCCACTCCCCCAAAGAAGCGCCAAGCGGGGTTCGCGCGATCCTGGGAGGGACTGAAGGTAGATCGAGTGGGGGGGGGGGTTCTCAGCTTCGGTCCTCAGGCTGCCCCTCCCCAGCCGATTTCTGCATCGGAAGGGCAGGCAAGCAGTCGGGCTTCTCAGTCCAAGCTCCTAAACCGAACCTCTTTCGCTATCGATCCGTCCACACATTAAAACACTCAACCCCGAAGGTTCTCTTTGCACCCCCTGCGCGTGGAGAGCAAAGATCTCGGTTAGTGGCTTTTATCGTGAGGACCTTACGACGACCGCCGTTCTGCGTTTGCATTTGGGGTCCAACCCAGGAGAAATGCACAAAGAGGGAGAAGAACTGCACCCCAGCATGCAAACTCAGAGACTGCACCCCTGTTCCCAGCATGCAAACTCAGAGACAGGTCAGAGAAGGTATCCCTTAATTATCTCGATTAAATCTAAAACCATTTAAATACCGATTTGCCCAAATAGCATATTACTACATGGAAGAAAAGGAAGAAACGGAGTAAGTTTGTCCATTTGTATCTCTTTCCATTTTACAACTGTGAGACACTTCAGAGAGATGCCTAGTTTAACGTGTTGGTCTAGTGCTAAACAAGGTCAAATTTCACTCTACACTAGGAGAGGTTAATTTTGGGCTAATTATTCCTTCTTTCACTCAGCCTGACCTACCTCATAAGGTTGTTGTGGGAAAAAATTAAAGAAAAGAATACTTCGTACTTTATACGAATGCTTGTGGCAATATTTGTTTGCAATGTGTGGGCACTTTCTTATGTAGGTTATGACACTTATGCAGGGTATGAAAGATAGGTATATTTGTTTGCCATAAGCAATGAAAATGGCTTCTCCATTCTATCTATGGAGATTCTCAGTCATCCAATTCAGAGTTGTCCCAGAGATGCTTTTTCAAAAGGCAACCTGACTTTGTTTTTCTTTGAAGGTATTTCACTTCTTATCCAAGAAACTTCTTCAATTCTTCTTCAGAAATATCTTCAAAGAAAAACAAAGGAAGCTCAGTTGCCTTTTGAAAAAGCACCTTTAGCTTCTCTTCTGCTCTAGAACCATTCAGAACCCAATTTTTTTAGCTCTCATCTCTTCTCTTGCTGGTCATACATCTTAAGAAACCCTTTCCCATTGATTCTAGCTGTTTTCTCTGATATAGTCAACTCTATAAGATGTATGACCAGCAAGAGAAGAGATGGGAGCTAAAAAATTTGGGTTCTGAATGGTTCTAGATTGAATACAAACTTAACCAGTAACGAATTCCAGCTTTTCCTGCAGAAGTAAATTATGGTAGAAGCAGAAACATTTGGGGGAAGTGGTACAGAATAAAAAAATGTGAAAGAAGTATGTTGAGGTGGTTTGTTTGTATGCTATGTAGAATAAATGAACATTTATTTAGTTAGGAATTTATAGAAGAAGACTGAATAAGTCAAGTGAAAGGAAAGACTGGGCAGTTGTGGCTGGGTGGAGTTAATGAGATACTTACAAACCGACAGGAGTGACATTAAAGTCTCCTGGAGTCACCTTATATAAGTTGGGCAATCAATAAGTTTGTTTAAAAATAAATAAAATAATAAGGCAGTGTATGGAAATGGTAGAACCAGATGCACTGACTGTAGAATTCTGGGAGTTGAAGTCCACAGATCTTAAAGTTGGAGACGAAAGTAGAGACTGAAACTTATGAAGAACGGTTACAGGAACTGGGCATGGCTAGTCTAGTGAAGAAAAGGACCAGGGGAGACATGATAGCAGTCTTCCAATATTTGAGGGGCTGCCACAGAGTGGGGGGGTGTCAAGCTATTTTCTAAAGCACCCGAAGGCCAGACAAGGAATAATGGATGGAAACTGAAGGAGAGATTTAACCTGGAAATAAGGAGAAACTTTCTGACAGAACGATCAACCAATGGAACAGTTTGCCCTCGGAAGTTGTGGGAGCGTCATCACTTGAAACTGCCATGGACTGCCATTTGTTAGAAATGGTGTAGGGTCTCCCACTTGGGCAGGGGGTTGGACTAGATGACCTACAAGGTCCCTTCCAACTCTGATTATCTGTTATCTGTTAAAGTTGCTAAGGTTGAGAAACATTGTCCTTAACTGGAGAAATTTTCTTTCTTGGAGCATCTGATTCCTGGGGTTTCAAGATACAGGTAGTCCATGACATACAACCATTTGCTTAGTGTCCACTCCAAGTTATAATGGCACTGAAAAAAGTGACTTATGACCAGTTTTCACACTTAGGACCATTGCAGCATCCCCATGGTCATGTGATCAACATTCACGTGCTTGGCAATAGGCATGTACTTATGACGGTTGCTCTATCCTGGGGTCATGTGATCCCCTTTGCAACCTTCCCAGGTGGCTTCTGACCAGCAAACTCAATGAGAGAAATCAGATTTACTTAATGACCACAGGATTCACTTAACAGCTAAACAGTTAAAAGATTCTCTTTTAACACCTGTGGCAAAAAGGTCTAAAATGGGGTGTGACTCAACTGTCTTGCTTATCAAGAGAACAGTTGAGCTCCATTGTGGCCATAAGGTCTCCCTGTACTGAAAAAAAATGAAGTTTCTAAGGCCATGGGTGGCGAACAGAGGTGGGATTCTACCAGTTCATACCTATTCTCTAGAACCGGTTGTTAACATTCTAAGCAGTTCGGAGAACCGGTTGTTAGAAGAAATTACTGGGCTAATCCTGTAAGGAAGGCAGGAAGGAAACATTCTGGTGTTGCTTACAGAAACTGCCTCTCTGTTAACCCTTATTACATTCTTGGCAGGACTAGACTTCCTGTCTCTGGAACTTCTCTGGAGTTTATTCCCCCTCCTTTGCTGGTACTTTGCTTGTGTGGAGTGACCATTCAAAGTTACAATGGCCCTGAAAAAAGTGACTTATGACCATTTTTCACACTTACGACTGTTCCAGCATCCCCACAGTCATGAGAGGCCAGGCTAGGAGATGTGTGCCTCGATGTGAGTGATATTGAGTTGGCCACACCCAGCCAATAACATGACCACCAAGCCATGTCCACCCAGTCACATGACCACCAAGCCACGCCCACCACCTAAGCCACACCCACAAAACCGGTTGTTAAAAAATTTGAATCCCACTCCTGGTGGTAAACCTATGGCGGGCATGCCACAGGTGGCACACAGAGCCCTCACTGCAGGCACATGAGCTGTCGCCCCAGCTCAGTGGTAGTATTCAAATAAAGTTACCACCGGATTGGTGGGCGTGGCTTGATGGGCGCGCTTTGCGTGCATGCTCACACTTTGTGTGCAGGCACGTGCCAAATGCGCACTTTGCGCAGGCTCTGAGGCGTTCTAACTTGCCTCCTGCAAGCCTGTAGGATGCTGGTTGCTGCAGCAGCTGCCGCGCGGCACTATTCTGCGCCATGCAAAGCAGCTGCACTTCGAATTCTGGCCATTAAAGTGAGTATGGAAGCCCGGGCGGGAGGGCGGGCCAAACACAGAGCAGCAGAAAGAAATGGTTTGGTCTCTGCAGCTCATCGCCGCTACCGGCTCTCCAGAACTGGGCAGAACCGGTCGAATACCATCACTGCCCCAGCTCAGCTCTGCCACCCATGCAGACACGCCTCTTGCCGGACAGCTGGTCTTCGGGTCTCTGCTGTGCATGCAGGGGGCGGGGCGCAGGCACAGGTGAGGGGTCCATGCACGGGGGATACATGCATGGGACACACACACACACACGTGTGTGAGGGTGGGGTGCATGTGCAGGAGATGCATGCACATGCACGGGGGACACTCATGCATGTGTGGGGTGCATGTACAGGGCAGGGAACATGCACAGGGGATGCACACATTGCATTTTTGGGATGCACGCATGCGCTTTGGGCACTCAGTGTCGAAATGGTTAGCCATCACTCTTCCAGGGTGTGCCAGACATCTACAGACAATTATGTAGATAACCACCCCCACATTACATATCTGATATTAACACAGTTGAGAAAATCCAGAAATATTTCACAAGAAGAGTTCTCCACTCCTCTACTCGTAGCAGAATACCTTATGCCACCAGACTTGAAATTCTAGACCTAGAAAACCTACAACTGCGCCGCCTTCAGTCCGATCTAAGTATAGTATATAAAATCATACATTGCAATGTCCTACCTGTCAATGAATACTTCAGCTTCAGCCATAACAATACAAGAGCACACAATAGATACAAACTCAAGGTAAACCGCACCAAACTTGGTTGTAGGAAATACGACTTCAGCAACAGAATGATCAAGGTCTGGAATACTCTACCTGACTCTGGTTTCTTTCCCAAACCCCAAAAACTGTAACCTTAAACTGTCTACTATTGACTATTCACCCCTTTCCTAAGAGGTCTGTAGGGGGGATGCATAAGCGCACCAATGTGCCTACCGTCCCTGTCCTGTTGTTTCTTTTA